ATTTGATTTGAAACTGTCTCATTGCTATCTGTTTATCAATAAAACTGTGGGAAAAAAAACAACAAAAAAAAACAAAAAAAATAAAAATCAGAAGTTTTAAAAAAAAAAAGAAAAAGAAAAAGAACGGAATGATTTGTGGTCAGTGCTGGAGGGGAAGTTATGTGAAGGATCCACCATCCAAGCTGGGGACCAGCCAGGTGTGCAACACACAACCCACAAAGGGGTTTTGCCGTAAGGATGTTGTGCGACTTCCAGGACAGCCACAAGTGGTCCAAGATACAAGTCACCGTCACTGCTTCAGTGACTAAGTCATTAACTCTCCAAACTCAACAGACTAAAGGTCTAGCAGTTCCCCCAGAGCCGTGGTTCTCTGCTCTAGCTGTTAACATTTCCTAGAGAACTTTGGAGAACACCAGAACCTGTTCCAGATCCGATCAAAAGCTCCGCCAAATGTTCCAAAATTCCCTTGACATTCAACATCCGGGTCCTGGTGCCGTCACCTTCCCTAGGCTTCTGTTTCCCTATTGAAAGAGAATCAAGGAGGACAACTTGTTGGAAGGCTATGAAAGATTAAGTAATATACTGGCACAGAGACCCCCAGTAGCAATTTATGTTCCTCCCCTTGTTTAGTGGTGATGCGTAATGGTTGAAGTTCTCCAAACGCTTTCTCCATGCACCCTTGTACCAGAAGCCTGAAAAGGTTGCCTTTCTCTCCCTTCTTTGTCTTTCCCCTATGACTTGCTGCTCTTTGGTAACCATCCTCACACATCTTTCCCGCTCTCTGCTCCTCCAGCCGCCACAGAAGTGTCCTTCTCATTTGATGTTGGGAATGGACCAGTGGAGATCGTAGTGAGGTCACCCTCCCCGCTCAACGATGACCAGTGGCACCGGGTCACCGCAGAGCGGAACGTCAAGCAGGCCAGTCTCCAGGTGGACCGGCTTCCCCAGCAGATCCGCAAGGCACCGACCGAAGGTCACACACGCCTAGAACTCTACAGCCAGCTGTTTGTTGGTGAGTATTGGAAAGATGGTGTCTTAGTTATTTTTTTGCTGCTCGGCCAAAATACCTGACACCCACAAGTTAATGGAGGAAAGGTTTAAACAGGTTTCAGCCCATAGTAAGGTGGCTCCACAGCTGGGCAGCATGGCAGATGGGCATGGGAAGTACCGATGGCAAGCAGGCATGATGCAGCGGTGGTGAAGCGAAGGAGAAATCCTCCCTTTCCTCTTTTTCCCATCCAGGCTGTAAGCCTTGTGAGTGGCATCACCCACACCCACGATGGGGCTCCTGTCTTCACTGTATCCATTAAGCCTCACCCAGAGCTACACTAATTCCAATCAGTGGACTAATTCAGTACCACACACCCTTAGTCCCAGTTTCACACTCTGAAACCCATCCCCAGATTCTAAATCCAGTTATCTCCAAAAAGCCTCATCTGTGACTGAATGAGGTTTGGGGGGTGGGGGGACATGTAGTTACAAACTGTAACGAACAGTCAAGTCTTTGATCCACTGGTTTTAAGAAGCTTCACAATGCAAATAAAACAAAAGAAAAAGAAAAAAAAAAAAAAACAACAGAAGGTATTGATAGAGATCCTTCCCAAAGCAAATGTCTAGATCTCTTGTCATCTCTCTAAGACAGAAAAGAGCAAGGAAAGGACCCAGGAGAATCAGACCTGGCTCCACATCCCTTCCTCTCAGGCTCATGGTCCTCCACTACAAAGCCAAAATGTAAGGTGGGACAACTCTCAGGGATCTCTGTCTGTCTGCCATTTTATATGATTGTTTTAAAATATAACAAATTATTTAATCATGCAGGGTACTTAGGAATGTGAAGAAGGAAGGAAACCAGAGAAGGGAGAAAGAAAGGGAGGGAGGGAAGGAGGGAAGGAACTCTCTAAATTCAAGTTTGCTTGCATTTATAAGAAGGGGGGAAGAAAATGAACTGTCCTTGTTCAGGTTTTTCTGAAATGGTAGTC